TATGGTAGGTCTACATATCTGCCCATTTAGAGCAAAGTGTGGCTAATAACAGCGTGTTTACTATAGCTCTGAAAGTGAGCATTCTTTTGAACAATGGCATGAAAGCGACAAGAATAGTACCCAGCGTTTGCACTACTTTGCTACCCAAGTTACTCCTGAACGCATATTACACAGCGAAATATCTAGGACCTGGTTTATTGGTAGGTGTACGGCGAAGTCCGGGCATTGACAACAGGTAGTAGACACTTGTCACTTGACCACGTGGGGTCGAAACGGCCAGAGTGATAGTATCAAAATAATGGACGTAATGATGTTCCAGTTGTGTAGCGTAAATTAAAATTTATTTATTTTTACCTCATCACTGTCTCTGCTAATAAAAGGCCAATAGTAAATGACCTCACCGTTCGGTGAATTCTAGCAACTTGGAGTCATGGTGCATCCACGCGGCGTAATATTAGTTCCTTTGGGCGCAAAATAAAAACTTAATTGTGTAAAAAGTAAGTTGCAAAGTGAGCAATTGGTCTTCCGTTGAAAATCCAGGGTAAATTTATTTTCATTACTGTTTAACTTTTTAATGCTATTAACCTATTTTAATTGCCAATGAAACGCACCTTCCAGTTGTGAGAACTTATGAACAAATAATGGCAAAACAAAGTCGGAGAAAGCCTTTCCATTAAAATCGTGGAGACATTACCTTTTTCAGCTTGCGCTAAAATAGAATAACACATCAGCGATAGGCATTAAAATGGCTTCAGGTTAAGGAAATGGAGCCAAAGCAGTGTTGCACATAAGTATGAAAAGGAAAATGTACGTTACGAGCATTATTTTCCGGTTTTCTTAACAGAATTCACTTTACAAAATGGCGCATTGTTGTCCTGGACAATAGTGACTTCTGTTTTGAGGCAAAAAATTTGCTTTTGTGGTCTGGTGAAATTGAAAATTACCGAGCATTATTGAACAATCGGTTTTCCTCCAAACGCTACTTACAACAATCCCAGATTTGCCTTTTGAGCTTTTGGATGTCCATTTAGCCATTGTTTAAGGCTTGTCTTGCCAGCTGTACCTATCATGATTGTTTACACACATTAATTGTGAATCAAAAGGAAATTGTATCTTTGGAGGTTAAACAAACCTGCTCCAAAATTGACTCTTCAGTGCATGAATAAACTTGCTGCACGCAAAACAAAAAGTACAATTTGGTCCTGTTTGCTGGCACTTTTTATCATGCCAAGTGTAATTACGCAGTGGGTTTGTTATTGTCATGCAACTCATTTTGGCTCTCGGTGGAAGGTTCGACATTTTCCTTCAAGTGAACTGCCCCTATGTGGTTTTGAGTTCAGCACTCCATCCGGAAACCTTAATTGTTAATTCAATGGCCTCCGATTACTTAATAAATTTGAAGTCCGTCTTTTGATTTGTGGGGCGCTGGAAACTACTGATATTAGTCTTAAATATCTAATGTTTATTATTCGTAGGTAATTTATAAATTGATAAGCTGAAACGATTCATCTGCATGATTATTCTACAATGCATAGACAAGCGCTCATTTGTTTCCTATCTCCAAAAACAGTAACTAGAATGTCTATACTTGGTAACTCGTGTGTAAAGCATATCACTAATGGGTGACGCAAAGAAGTAATACCAACGGAAACTTCACAAGTGATGCTATCCAAGAGTCAGTATTTCCTTCTGCCTTCAGAGGAGTAAAACGTGTTTGTATATGCTTGATATGCAAAAAGGCTACACACGCACACACCGGATGGCAAATCAAAATCACGTGCTGCGGTGAGTCATCCTTTCCACGCGTGCTCGCGTGCATATTGGCAAGCCAGGCGGCCAAATTGAAATGGCGACGACGGGGAGAGGGAAAGGGGGAGGCCTACGCGTATGCGTGCATGAAAGCGCTCTACAACTTGATGTACGTGAGAAAAAGTGCAACAGAGTACACAATTCCCAGAGGTGAATTAGAAGTCGTGAAATCACCGTCGTGGGAAGGCTAAAATCAAAGTGTTGTTCAGGTGATTGGGTGTGGGACATTTTTGCAGTTCACTTTAGCATAATTGCTCTTTTTCAGCAGACGGAAATGCTATTTAACTGTAATGGGATCTGCAAGCTGCTGAAGTGAATTAATCGCATTAAGTGAATGAAAGAATTAATAAAATGCACTAGAACTCCCATCATAGCATAATACAGCCAATTAATATCGTTAAAAAGTTAAATTCTTTACTTAAATCATTTGTAGATACAAAATTTCATTATGGACAATTTTAAGGTCGCTTAAAAGCTTAGGTTAAGAAAAGGCCCATCTTCTGTCCTTCTTCAAGTTACTGAAATCACATGAGGATGGAATTAGATCATTGCTGAGTCGCTAGATTTGGCAGTCTTGAGCACTAACAAAATCGCAATGTTGATGGTCATTTAGAGGGTGCTACGTTTCTGCAGTTTGGTTTCATTGGCACATACCCGGATTGCGTATTTAGCTTTACTAGCACTTTGAGACTGCCGGAACCACTCGAGTTTAAACCTTTCTGTGAGTTAATAATCTAAGACCATGGCTTATCTATCCCTCATAAATAACCGGCACAATGAAATGGGAAAAGTGTTGAAAACAGGTGTCATTACTGACTGCTGTGGTTAATCCGAAATTGACAGTCGTTAAAATTTGGTCCCGACTAGGCGGTCACATTGCTGTCATGAAGTCATGTTCACACCGCATATGCCACTGACCCTTCGAACTGTTTATTGTCAAGTGCAATCCTACCTTGGAGGCTCTTATGCCCTGAGACGGCTTCACTGATAAACAGCACCTGGGTATTTAAATTAGGCCTTTTTGGACATATTTACGAATCGCATTAAAAGGTAATTTGGGCGGCAAGAAACAGGCTCTTTGTCAAGTTTAGCACAGGAATACTTAAGTGCCTGAGATATTCATGTTTATCGAATGAGTTTTGATGAATGAATGAAGATGGGAACTATAGGAGCGACAGTTTACACTCCTAATCACCAAGATATAGGAATTATGAGGAAATGTTTGGTGAAAATGAGATGCACTAAATTTCAAGGCCGCGTACTGGTGTTTTAGTCCTTTTTCAAGCTTTTCTTTAACATGATGAGAATGATTTAGCTAGTGTTAGTGAGTCAGCTGGGACAGGAGTGAATTGAAAAAGACCTTATCAAATCGCCTTAAAAGGTAGCAAAAATTGATGCTTTTTGGAGGAGGCACGTGCATTTACGACTGGCGAATCCAAGACTTGGAGGGGGATGAGTCATCTGCGTGCGTCCGACGATTGGTTAAGATGAAAGACAGACAGGAAACCGTCGTGACTAGTCCAGGAGGTAATCGTGGTAATGACAAAAGTGGGGAAAGGGGAGGCATCGTCAACGCTCTACACTCACCTCCCCCCAAATTGGGCCAATCAGAAGGCGCGACAATTTTGGACTTCGCCCAAGTCACGTGGC